ATGGCAACAGATGCCTCAGAGAGTTCATGACACGCCAGGGTACTTTTCTGTTATAAGTCTACATTACATCTCAATTACCAAGGGGGATGGAAAAGGCAAGATGCTATGTAGAAACAAAGAGAATTAAATGGCGGTCAGATTATATATAATTTCTAAATGGGTGTAGGAAAATCAGATCATGCAGAACAGATTCTTCTCCATGAGTCTTATCTGGTAGGATCCAGAAGAATCAATTATACATGTGAAAGAATGAAATAATCAGATAAGGAAGACACCTCATTTTTCTTAACATTTCATTCCATTCTACTGACCTTTCTTTGGCCCTCAAGAACCACAGTAGTAAATTTCAAGGACAGACTCATGACCATATTAAACATGGTACATTATCTTATTTTCTAATAAAATATTCATTCCCAGATACTTAAAAAATTGCATGTAGAAGATTTCAAAAATACAGATACCTAAACTCTGACTCTCAATCAAAATTTCTAGCAAGGGATAATAAAAGTGGATATATACAAGTAGACATATATAAAGCCAAAATCATGAACTGACTCTTAAACCTGGTACATCTTATCATCTTGACATAGTCTTATTTTTATAACTTCCATTGCACGATCTGCTTCAAACCTCCCAATTCCTTTGTGAAAATAAACCCAAGTAAAGGATATTAGAAGATATGATAGATGATACTTTAAGATAAACATACGTGCAAACTTAAAGCTTCTTTTGCATTTGAGGTCTTAGAGCATCAAAGATTTTCTAATCTTCGAAGAAGACTTTTTTCTTTCTCACTCCTAAGCAAGGAGGTCATGATAGCATCTCCATGGATGAATTCCTCACTTATTTTCTCATAGTGTTTCCCATGAAATCCCTTCAACTGAAAATGTACTCCTTACTGAGAATCTGGGAAGACCTAGAAGAGAGGCCTTACACTATAGACAAAGCTAATTCTCAGGGCGAGAGAAAACTGACCATGCAATTCCATATATTTTATGGGACCTGAGAAGATAAAGGAAGAGTTTTGAATTAAGACACTTCCTGGGTTGTTTCTGGTCAGTCATATCTTGTTTGTTGTAGGTGATATAATATCATTCAGTTAAGACAGAAACTCAAATTGAAAACTGACTGGATTTGATTAAATTACACAGTGTGATAATTTCTTAGGTGCAAACAACACAACACGATCCTTTTTCCTAAACACAGGTTTAATTTTCAACAAAACACTTCTCACATAAATACCATGTTGTTTCTACTCCCTTATTGTCATTCCCAGAATTGCTTGCAGCCTTTCAGAAACACATTATTTTATAATTATAATCAACACTATTAGAACAGGACAATTTGTGCCAAAATGCACATTTACACTCAAACTCATCACTTAGCACTGTCACAGGAGGGACCATCTTCATTTCCACAGAAATCAAGGAAAGTCACACGTTCTGCCTTTGAAACCTTCAATTTCTAGATGGTATGGGAGTTGCTGACCTTGTCCAAATGATCCTCTCATTACTGCTCTAACAACCCCCAGCAAAAAAGCCCAGAATACTGCAGCAGGGCACTATGTGGTAGAAAATTGACAGGGCTGGAAATCAGGCCAACTTGGATTCTGCCCCTTCCAATTGGGCAATTCCTTCCTTGCTCTCAGTTTCATTGTATGTGAAATGACAGTGTTAGTAAGAGCTGTATTAGAAAGCCATTCATGCAATTAAATTAAAACTGTCCTAAGTACATATAAAATATTTAGCAGATAGAATTTATTATTATGATTATTAATACATTATAAGCTGTGTGACCACAGGACAAGTTGCCCATTCACTCTGGACATTTCTGCATTTTGATCAAGTGAACTCTACCAAGATGCTATTACCCATTTCATGTGCTGGAACCTGGACTTTCAAGATACCATCTACATAAGTGGAGAGCCAGAATTACATCTCGCTTTCCACCATGAAGGGCATTCTCAGGGTACTAGGTTCCTACTTCATTAGAAATGAGAAGTATTTGGCCCTTGTCTGATATAAATTCTAGAAACAGGAGCTTTTAATTCTCTGTCTTTCAGAGAAGTGACCTTCCTTGTCCTGTTTTAGGAGATCTCCAGGATCCCAGACCACTAGATCAACTTCATGCCAGGCTTGTGATCTTTCTCATTGTTGCACGTTCCCAGAAGAATTTCTTTTGTCTTCATAAGTAGCCCTACTGTGTAGTAGACAATGACCCTCAATGCCTAGGTGAGCAAACTGAAATTGGAATATGAAACCCGTTCTAAATTAGCTTGTAAAGCTATAATACAATCATGATTCAAACCTAGACAATCTCTTTGCATTTGCTAGAACTGTTAAGTGAAAGAAGGCATCTTAGCTTATCATTTAAAACGTTGCAACCCCCTTCTTTAGTAACAACTAGAAGAGTTGATTGTGGGACTATATAAATCAAACTCTCTAATCACTTGGTTTTCAGTGCTTCTGCAAAATAGACTGCTTGCATTATAGGCACTGAACTGAAATGCTTTAAATCCTTCAGTATGACAAAATTAAAATAAGTCACAAGAATTATATGAGTAGGAAACTCTATCAAGTGTACGTACTCTCCTCCTTTACACAGTCCAACTTAAATTCTGTATCAAGGTGCAATGCAAAACTTAGTGTCCTCAGACTCTATCAGCTTAATGATTTCATTCAGTTAGTTTCCAGTGAGAAGTCTCAGTCATTTAATGAATGTTTGAAAGAATGCCCAATTAGAAACCATGTGACAGAAGAAATCCCCAAGTGAAGAATGTTGGAAAATTGCAATAAAGACAGAAACAGTTGGTCCTATTAGCCTGGTTGTTTGGATGGGTGCATTAGCATAAAGGGAAGCTTTATGGAAAGAAGTTTATTCTATCAGAAAAGTGAGCTGAATTGTGGAGACAGATCATAGATATCAGAGGAAATTGTTAACTTCAAATACTGTCTTCATGTTCCTCAGCTCCTCTTTCAGCCTAGCACTTACCCTCTGATACAAACATTATAACCAGGTCTACTTTTGCATTCTGAATACAGTATACAGTAAGTAAATAAAAATAAGGAATAGTAGCATTCAGATCTTGGCCCCAACCAGAAAGGAAACATAGAGAAACCATTTGATATAGTCAGTTGGACTTTTAATTCTGCTATTTAATGGCTTGTGTGCGTTGGATATGCTAATAAAAACCTTAAAGCCTTAATTCCCTAACGCAATATTGGGAGTATTCATCATATTGGTATGACATGAGAACCTTACTCATATATCATAAATAAATTAGGAGGATAGGATTTTAAAGTATCGAAGAGAAAAAACTATTGTTAGAGAACTCTTCTCCCGACCTTCAAAATTTTGGATAAGATGATGCCAAGTAAACAAGTAAAAGATCCATGCAAGTGACAGGCATGAAATTTCAAAGCACTGAAAACAAAACTGACAGCTGAGATCTGTAGGACTTTAGTGTCTTAACTGGGAGTTACAGAGGACACGGGACGTCACACAAAGAAAAGGTGCATTCATGATCCACCTGTTCTTCATATGAACAGCTATTGTCTGTCTACTTTGTCAGACAGAGTGCTCAACACCAGGGAAGCCAAGGTGGTGGTAAGATGTGGCCCTCAGTCCCACAAGAAACACCCAGGAACATATCTCTCGGCTCTCACAAGTCCACTCATGACTTTCCAGGAACCCAATTAGTGACTTCTCAAAAGAGCCTAAGAGGAAGCTAGGGTCAGGTAACACTTATTAGTAGAAGTCAAGTAAAAAAGAAACTATCTACTTTAGTCACAGGAACTACTATGGTCCTACAAGCTGTGAAAACAACTGTGATCAAAATGTTGTCATTGAGAAGGCCACTCAGTGCTTCTCTCTGACTACCCACAAGAAAGCCCCTTACATTAAATATATATTTTATTTTACAATGGCCTAAAATTAGTATACTGATCTTCACATTATTGGTAAGCTGCCTAACTCTCAGACAAGTGAAGGCCAAATCACACAGCTGGTAAGCTCTGAAAATGATTTCAGGAAGTCGTACTACCCAAAATTCCAGATCTCTCTGGAATTACACCTGGTATACACTGTCAAAACTTCCCATGTCTTTCATTTCTTTCTTATCTCCATATTTCCTACTTGTGATTAACCTTATTTCTCATGTATACTTTGTTAGAAGCTCCCCACAAGCTCCTTATGGAAAGAGTTGTTATAAATAAACCACCCCATGCATAATGCATGCATGCATATGTATTTGCTTAATGATTCATGGTTTAAGTTGAAAACCCCTGACTGGCACTAACCACATAGAGAACTGCGGGGGTTTCACTTCTTCTTTTACCAGCTTGAAGCGTGAAGCAATGGACTGGAGTGCACAGTAGTTTCCCTGGGAGGGAAGGACGACCAGGCAGAGGCCTGGCCTCTTGTGTGCTGTCTAGCTGATTGACAAGACCTTTACTGAATTGAACTTCAGGTGTTATATCAGGAAAATGGAGAGATGAATTCTTGATCTGCTACCTCATCTGTCTAAAAAGAGAGTAATAATTGCATGGTTGTGTTTCAAGTTAACAGGAACTACAAAAATTTAAGGCATCCTAATTAATATTAATAACCCCATGCCACCATTTGAGTCTCTTTCAAGCAAAACTATTTAAAATAATTCGTGTAGAACTCATTCTAGGTTTGGCTTTCTTTCGTCTCCCTTTTCTATTTTTTTTTTTTGTATAACATTTCTTTCTATCCTTTTCACCACATCAGAAATTCCAAGAATTCCAATTCCATCTGTCCCTAACTTACTTCATTTAGAATAAAGAAACTACGTTTCTATCCATGTTGCCAGAAATAACAAGAGTCCTCCTTTTCCAAGGTCAAATAACATTCCATTGCGAGTACACAGCATACTACCTCTATTCATTAACTTGCCAATGATCATTTGGGTTGTCTCCATAATTTGACTACTACAAATACTGCCGTAATGAACAAAGGAATCCAAATGAGGTTTTTTGTTTGTTTCTTTTTGAAATCTTTATTGCTAGATATTACAACAGTTCTATTTTCCGTTCCTTTATCAAGAAACCTGCAGTTTTCTTTAATGACTCAACAGTTTTTTTACATCCACCAACAATTTAGAAGTGCTATGTGAAGACACACATACACACAGAAACACACACACAGACACACACACACAGACACACACACACAGCCTTGATACAAGTAGTGGTCATGCTGACCAGAATAAGGGGAAAGCTCATTGTGTTTTTAATGCTGCAGTTGCCTAAGAATATCTTCACTGTCCTTTCTTGGAATGTGCCATTAAAATGCACTTTTCTGAAAAGCCCTTTGAATGCCCTGGTTTCTTAATGATAAAATCTCCCCTCCCTAAATGTCATCAGGACATTGTGATACCTAACAAGAAGCAGCCATGTGTATTCCCAATGTCCACTCATCCCTCAAAGCATGTCCAGCAATGGGAAGGATAAAAGGAAAGTTTCTCAGATCTCCATGACTCCCTGAAGGGATCTTCTAGGCCAGCAACAATCCTTGCTGAAAAGGAACATTAATTGCTGCACATGTTGTGTTGTCATTGAGCTATGTGAGCATCTATGGTCTGGAATTATCAAGAAGAAATGAACAAGTTATCTGATTTCTGTTCATGCATTCCTCTCTGTTTTACTTCCTCGATTAAAAATATCCTATCAACGAAATTATTTTTAACACTGCCTCTGTGACATCCATAACTTAGTAGGTAATAATTTAAGAATGACACTCAGTGACAAAGTGACAATATATTTTGCACACTTGCTTGAAAAATTGTAGTTAAATATGGACATTCCTACCATATCTCTAACAGTCTTATTTATGATGTGAGTATATAGAGACGGCATGAAAATGATAACTGAATTTATAAAAATAAAAGTATATTAGAAATTTTTATTAATAAATACAGCATACTAAGTATTGGCCAGGATGTCTGTGAGCATGTATTAATCAGGTTTCCTGAAGAAATAGGTACAAAAGAAAATGACATATAATGGAACAAGAACTTTGAATCAGGCACTCAGAGAGAGCCAGTGGAATTTAAATTGCATTAAGTAGTAAAAAGGGAAAGTGAGCAAACATTCAGTTCAGTTGTAAGTTGAAGCACAGTACATGATATATTTTATATACTCAAAGGGCCGAGGGTTCACTAATGCTCCTTTTTGCTTTCACTGAGGCTTATACTCTTCTCCTTTTGATACAGTAGGAGCTGACTTTCTTGATTGTGATTCTTTGCTTGAGTTGGTGAAAGAACATACTAGGAAGGTATGGAATTTCGTCATAGTACTATCGCTTTCTGCTCTGTAAGGTCCATTAGGTTCCCAGCCTTATGGTACCTTGTATACCATGGGACCTTTGCCTACAACAGAACCCATGGTGAGCTGTAACATTTAATACTTGTAAACATAATGAGTGTTAGACCCAGAGTTTTGTCCTCCTCAGATGGAAGTTGTTGCTTCTTGTTGGTTGTTTTCTGTCTCGGCTACTCCATCTGGGTCCCAGGCTCTTCCGTCCAACAGAGCTTTTTTGAGCCTTCTCCAGAAGATGTGCCTCCCCAGAGCATTGTCCTCCCACTCGAGGTAGGTATTCCTGCTGAGAAGGCGATACAGCTCCACTTGTTGCTTCAGCAGGGACTTCTCCACCTTCTCCAGGACAATGAAGATGATGCCAGAGTGGCTGCTCAGAAACTGCCATGTCTGAGCAATCTCATATTCAAAGATACACCAGCGGCTCTGGATAAAGTGTCTAGACACCACAACAATAACCTTCCGGCTCTTGTGGAAGCCTTCCTGGATGATGTTGGCGGCAATGGCCACACCAGGAATAAAGTCTCTGTAGTGGAGGCACAGCTGAAAGGGGGGGACCCCTTCTTCTAAATTCTTTACCAACTCGTTTCTCACCCAGTCCTCGTCGTGGCTGGAGTAGATGACAAAGGCATCATAGACGCTTTCACCTCTGCTGTACTTCTTACAACCAGCAATAAGTATCAGGTGGAAATAGAATTTGTAGACCAGAAACGCTATAGTGGATACTGCAAGCACACTGACCACTGATGCACCGATGATGGTCTTCTGAATGTAACAGGTGGCATTCCGAAAGTCCAATACCAGGGAGCCCTTCATCTCTACAGGTGTTGCACACATCATTTGTTCAGTGTTCACTAAGAACAGCCTCTGGTCCTTGACCCACTGCAGGAAGTTCTGATGTTCACATGTACAAGCAATGGAATTATTAGTAAGATTTAGGAAGGCTAGACTCTTTGGGAAATGTTGCATCATTCCTTTGGATGTCTCTATGTGATTGAAACTGCAATCAAGAGTCTTGAGGGAGTGCAGCTGGTTATAATGGAATGAATCCAAAAGCAGTAGATTGTTGTGACTCATATTTAGTAACTCAAGTCTATGGAGTGTGTCAAACACCCCCCAAGATACTTTCTGCAATTGGCAGTTAGAAATATCCAGGAATGTCAAGTTTGTAGTGTTTGTAAAGACATTTGAAAGGGTGTTATCTTTGAAAGAATTACCAGCCATTTTTAAGGTGTTGAGACTGGTCAAGCCAAAAAATATGCCATTGAAGTCAATTTTGGTGTTAGTATGAGAGATGTCAAGATAAAGCAGTTTTTCAAGTGGTAAGAACATTGAGAATACAGTGGCCTTTTTTAAAGTAGAATGCTGAAAATCCAAATATTCAAGCTCTTCTAAACCCATGAAGTTTGCATTTATCCTGATGACACCGTTGAAGCTGAGGTCTAAGTGTTTCAGGCTTCTTGTTCCCAAATCAGAGTAAGAACAGCAACGCCTGAAGCTCATACCATTTCTACTGAGATCTAGAAATGTGAGGCTTGGCAGATTCATTTCTGCAAAACTGGTAGCCCCTTTGTTGGTAATAAAAATCAATCTTTTAAGAAAGGGGTTTTCTAGAGGTGGAAAGTGCTTAAGCTCACATCTAATGACTGTTAAGGTTTCCCATTTGAAATATTTAGGAATGTGTTCTAGCTGTCTTAAATACACATTTACCAAAGACATTGTAGAAACATTTGCCAAGCACTCGAAATCAGTGATATCATTCGAAAACTCGTCTGCATACGTAAACCGGAATTCATTAATGGTCACCTTGCACAGTCCTTCCATGACAGAGCGGTCAAGCCTTTCTACCCTCCTTTCATTTTTAAATTCTCCCAAGATCAGTCGATGCACTTGTAAACCATCCAGGTTTTGAATGCAAGTTTTCATTACATTTGTGCTATTAAAATTACTTCTTAGAGTCAGCTCATGGAGCCTAACTCCTTGAAAGGCTCCAGGCTGAATAAAGTCAATTGGGTTTAAGGACAGCTCTAAAGAGAGATTGAGCTGGGGATTTTCACGTAAAGTCTGGAAGTCTGTGTAGTAAATTGTTTGGATATAGTTATTAGAAAGGTCTAAGTGATCTAGGTCGGTCAGATTAGAAAAATATTCAGGTAGCTTGGAGGAACGTATAAAATTGTGAGCCACATTGAGTGTCTTTAAAGTTATAAGGTGTCCAATAGGTAAGTTGTCTAGAGAAGCCAGTTCGATCTCCACAGCCACCAGATTCTGTAAATTTGCTAGTCCAGAAAAACTTCCCCGGGATAAACTCTGGATAGGGTTTCCTGTCAGTATCAAGGTTGTGAGCTGGTGTAAATCCTGATATGCCTTGTCTTCAATTGTCTCAATTTCACACCTGTGGGGAAAAGTTGTAAGTCATGAAAAATGACTGGTGAGAGTCAATTTCAAAGACATAAATAATTACACATAAGTGTCAAGGATGGAATTAATATTTACAAAAAGTTACTCATATATGACAGCTGGTATTTTAAATCTGTCATTGTCACAGGTAAATGTTAATTGGTGACATGAGTAAGTTTTATGGAAGAAGTGGAAAATGGCCTATGAATGTTTACATCACAGGGATTGACCCTCTTTCAGAGGACAAAAGCAGACTTCTCTGAAAATATTTAAACAGAATTTTTAGTGATTAAAAGTAAAGCAAGAAGCAGGTCTGAAAGCCAAAGTATCCAGCAGGCATGCCAAAGGAGGACCCATAATACACAGTCTCTGTGGCTGTAGGGCAATAAGGGAACTAAGAGAGACTAAAATGGAGCTATGAAGAGAGGGGTTTGCAAATAAAGTACAGACTCACGAGCCCAACGAAATACTACAAATTTTATTCCAAGGTAAATGTAAGATGTGCTGTATACAGCACCCATAGAGACAAGCTAGCAGCAGACCTCACATGCAGTAGACACACAGTGATGCATGATGGTCTTCACTGCGGATGCAGGACACAGTTTTCAAATGAGTCCTTTCCAAATCTGTTACAGCGACCCTGACTTTTCTTGTCCTCTTTGGCGTGTTTATAGGTAATAAAATCATTATCATCAGTGCTTTCATTTATTGGCAATGTGGCAAAAGGTGGGGGTACTGTAGAAAGAATATTGGGAGGCCATGTAGCCGGGGTTGGTTCTCCTGGCACAATGCATGATCTTTGGTACCCATATTTTGTGTGGGTTTCTGATGGGGGATGTCCTTCTATATATATGTTTCTCTTACTGGTTGATGAGTAAAACACTGATTGGCCAGTAGCCAGGCAGGAAGTATAGGCAGGAAGATGAGTCGAGGAGAAGACTGGGAAAGGAAGGCAGAGAGAAGTGGCCAGAGAGACGCCATGCTGCTGAATGAGTAACATGCCGGATTATGGGTAAGCAGCAGCCTTGTGGCAATATACAGGTTAATAGAAATGGGTTAATGATTAAGAGAGAGCTAGCCAGTGAAAAATCCTAGCCATCGGCCAAACATTTTAATGATTAAAATAGTATTTGTGTGTTTATTTGGGGCGAGTCAGCTGCGGGATCAGGCAGAACAGAAAACCTCCATCTTCAGGTTTCCATCATCCCACTTATAAATAATAAGAATCAAACTCAGTTTGATTCTTTCTCAAGTCTCCTCTTTCAGTTATATGATCCCACAGCTAATAATCACATACATATATTGCCATATATAGCAGATAAAGACAAAAGATTCTTTCTCTGTTTCTATCTCATAATATCTAGCTCATAACTTTAGAGAAATAGAGTGACACAATGAAAAAAACCTTTGAACTTGGAAGCTAGAGATATGAGCTGATGTTCTAGTCTGCTGAGGTAAACAGTATTGCTGTAGACAAGTTAATCAAATCCTTCAAAATTCAGTTTTCTTAGACACAAGAAGAAAAAATTCATACATGCATATATGCTCCTAAGAGCTACCTGGTCTATCACAAATCACTCTTAGAAGCCCAGCCCAGTTACTACACATTAAACACGCTTCGAAAGGTACAGGGGATAGCTTGTCTGACAGGCTTTAATGCAAACTATCCCATGAGCTAGGGGAGAGGAACCTGAGTTCTTTTAAGCAAATAATCATTTGTGCTGTAGATCAATGCTCAATTATACAGGACATTGGTGAGAAATCAAATCTTTTTTTAAATTGATTCATATTCTGTCTACTTCTTTTCTACCCCCAGTCTAACTTAGTTCACTTCAAATCTCTCTGGAAAAAGTAAAATGTAAAATTTAAGGAAATGATTATAATACCATTTTGTAAACTTACAAAACTCACTAAATAATTTCACTATATCCAGTGCATATAGTAGATTTATTATTTTCATTTAAAACGAGTGCTAACTGAGACTCAGGTAAAAGTTACATGCATCAGGTCGTACAGCTATAAATGTTGGAGGAAACATGTGCTTCATTCTTCCCCGTGCTACAGAGTTGTTGCCTTTTTCCTTTGGCATACTCTATTAATACACAAGTAAAGACTATAACACATAGGGTAGCTGCTGACTTTGTGGCAGTAATGACTTCTTTGCCGAAAACCTTTAATACCATGGTCTTGATCTTTATAGAGGCATTTTAGAATAAAAACATGTGAAACATTTCTGTAGTTTTACAAACGTTGAAGAAAAAATAAGGCCCTGTATCTACTTCGAATTTTAAGGATGGCCCGATCATTACAATTCACTGATGTAAAGCTGAAGCTTCCCTCCTGACAACTAGCTTTCAGCAAGAAGGTGCTATAGAGACTGCTGGGAGAGAGAAGTCATGCTATGAACTAGCTATGAACCCTATGAAGTATAACCCAAACTTGCAGGGCAAGATGTATCTAGTGTTGAAATATTGGCATAACTCTTCTAAGGGTAACAAACTTCTCTTGGGTTAGATTTTTGTCCATTCCCACAGGAGGTTACCCATGGCTGGTATTGTTAATCTGGTAAAAAGATAGTGATTACCAAAGTGGCCTTATGAGTTGGTATGGAGATTCCTCAGGAAAATGGGAATTAATCTACCACAAGACTCAGCAATTCCACTCTTAGGCATATATCCAAATGAGGCAAATTCATATAACAAGGGCATCTGCTCCACTATGTTCATAGTAGCATTATTTGTAATAGCCAGAACCTGGAAGCAACCTAGATGCCCCTCAACTGCAGAGTAGATAGAGAAAATGTGGTACCTTTACACAATGGAGTAATACTCAGCAGAAAAAAAACAATGGAATCTTGAAATGTGCAGGTAAATGGATAGCACTGGAAGCAACCATCCTGAGTGAGGTAACCCAGTCACAAAAAGACAAACAAGGTATGTGCTCACACATATATGGATTTTAGACATGGATCGGGATAGTGCCAGGCTGCACTTCCACTGATAGAGAGTCTGGGAAACCAGAAAGAACCTAAAAGATATGCATAGTACCCAAGAGAAGAGGATTGAGACAAGATCCTTTCAATGGATGGGGAACATGGCGAGGGGTGGGGGGGAGTGGGAGCTGGGAAGAAGAGGGGGGAGAAGAGGAAGAGAGAGTAGGTCATGGGGGAACAGGAAGGTTGACTGGAGGGGTAGAATAGGGGGAAGAGGGAATCATAGGTTGGAAGACAGATCAGGCACCAGAGTGACCTCTAGTGATCTAAAGGGATGACACTAATTGGCAAGCTAAGCAATAGTGGAGAGACCACCTCGAATGCCCATTCCTGATAATGAACTTGATGTCTATAACCATCCGGGAGCCTTCATCCAGTGACTGATGGAAGCAGAGGCAAACACCCACAATTAAGCACTGAACTGAACCCAATGAACCCAGTGACAGAGAGAGAGGAGTGATGAGCAAATTGGCAAAGAATGGGCTGGCAAAACCAGCAGAGACAGCTGTTCTGAACAGGGGAGAGCTCTTGGACCCCAGACCGACAGCTGGGAGGCCAGTATGGGACTGATCTGGACCCCCGAATGTGAGTGTCAGTGAGAAGGCCTGGGCAACCTATGGGGCCCTTAGCAGTGGATCAGTGTCTATCCCTGGAATACAAACAGTCATTGTGTGCCCATAGCACAAAGAGGGATGCTCTCTCAGCCTGGACTCTTAGGGGCGTGCCTGGACCTTACCCTGAGTGAAATGACAGACTCTAGATATCCCCTATGTGGAAGGAATTGGCAATAGGGTGGGAGGCTGGGGGGATGGGGGAGTGTGGGAGGAGGGGAGGGAGAGGGAACTGGGATTGACATGTAAAACAAGCTATTTAAAATTAAAATAAAAAAATTTTAAAAAAGACAGTGATTAGAGAGATTTATGATGCTAATTTTTGGGTTGGGAAGTAGGGTCGTTATTAATGTGGTTTAGTCAAATTAACATGGCACCAGGCTACTGTCTAAATAATTATATTTACAACCATTAGCAAATGTCACTGCTCTTTATAGTAAACAGTGGAGAATGCAGATATTCTTAAATGTTCTAGTTGCTAGGAGTTAAAGATGGTTCTGTGCTCATCCCTGAAGCAGACATTTATAATACCTGCTTTTGAGGGTCAGAAAGCATTGAGGAAGAGGGAGCAAAAAGAATATAAGAGCCAGAAGACAGGGAAAAGAGAGGATATCTTTCAGCATTACACAGTCATTGCAAACATGATCCCACAGCAACTGTGGTTACCTGCATTGGACCTCCACAAAACCAACCCTCCCAACAGAAAATCATGGATCAGGGAGGAGATCATGGGATCCTTTACTCCCTACTAAACTTTTGATTATAGGGAAGAGACAGTCATTGTTTTTAGCTGCTTATCAAATGGTTGTGCCCACTAGGCTCCAATAGGTAGTTCTAAATCTATGGATACACAGAGAACATGGTTAAAACCGGCAGGTCAGAAAATAAGCAAACAAGTATGAATATAGGAAAGGGATGTGTTGGGAAGAACCAGGGTTACCAGGGGTCAGAGGGAATTAAGTGCAGGTGAGGGTAAAAGTAATAGAATGCACTACATAGATGTGTGAAATTGTCAAAGAACAAGTTCAATCCATATAAAATGATTCAGCTTCCCACTGAAAATATTGGTATAAAGTTTGTGTTCCAACAAATGTTATGATGCACTGCATCAGAAAAGAAAATCTTAGCAACAGTTTCTTGCCAATACCAAATGCTTTTCTTGGATGTTAGCATCTTTCTCTTAAGTTAGGGCATTTCTTATTCTCTACCCTCTGTTCTGCTTTCACTATTTCAGGCATCTTGTGCACCTACTGATGCCTCCATCCTCTTCCACACATAATAAGACAGCTCCTCTTCTAATTGCTGCCTTTATATGTACATTGTTTGTCACTCACTATTGTAAATCACAGTATTAGAATTGGTTAACTTGTGCTGTGTTTATGCTATGTGTATAATAACAGCAACAAAACTTTAGTGTATTGACTCATTGAAGAGCATATTAATCCTACTTAATAATTAGGAGTATGGGATATGTATGTATAAATGTTTGTTCTATAGCTTAGGGAACAGCACATAGGATGTGGCCCACAAATATCTAATGGAATAGTTTAAGCTAATATAAAACCTAGAACTGTCCTTAAATAATCTTATCTAGTTGTGCATCAAAGTGAAACCTGGTAAATAAAAGTAGCTTGTCTAAGGATATACAGCAAGTAATACACTGTTGAATTAATCAGTGAAAGAAGTTGAATTAGATAAGCCAAATGTACTTATCCAAGAATGCAATGATAGAAAAATAACTATCTCACCTTGCGCAGCATGTAAAAGCTCATTCATTACCTGGATAAATCCAGCAACTTGAGTTCTGGAAAATTAGAGAAGCTATGGCTTCCCAAGATCTTCAGGGGGTTGAAGCTCAGATCCAAATGCTTGACTGAAGAGGGGATGTTGTTTGGGATTTTGTGGAGATTCTGATCCATGCATTGGTAACTAATATTAGGATCCACCTGTAAAGATCACACAACAAATGTCTGTTCCCAACTGCATGTCTGACCCCAACTCCTCCCCAAAGGCAAGTAATAGGATGGCACAACTTGTATACAAGCGTTCTCACCAACATTTTCCTGCCTACCCACCTACCCATTCAGTCATTCTGTTTTATCTTGTTTGAGACAGGGTCTCATTTATCCCATTCCAGACTTAAACTTGCTTTACAGCTGAAGCTGACATTGAACTCCGGATCTACATGCCCCCACCACACCAGCGTAAGTGTATGACACCACATGTATCTTTACCCATTCATTTATCTACCACTTCATGCTTATAAAATCTCTTCATTTATATATCAGGAAAAAGTATCCCCTGAATTCTCAGTGTGTTCACCTTCTACTACACGATAATCATTATTAAATGAGGAACAAGAGAGTCGGGTATAAAAGAGCTCTCAATTCTTAAATCCTTGGTGTCATAACAGGTGTTCTGTGACACTTGCACAAAGTAACCTTTTTAAAAATCATTTTATTTATTTATTTTTGAGATTGTAATTATACGATTTCCTTTTCCTCCCTTGAAGTCCTCCCTAAGGCCCTATTCTTTGCTCTCTTTCAAATCCATGGCCTCTTCACTAGTTTTTGTTATGTACACATAGGAATGTGTGCATAAATATAACCCTAATTACATAAGTACAACCTGATCAGTTTGTATATTTTATATATATATATATATTTTTTTTTTCAGGAATGACCACTTGGTGACCAATTAGTGTTCTCTTCCCTAGAAAGATTCTTTCCCATGCAACAAACAGACCATTACAGAAAACCAAAACCAATCAAAGTGTCCCAAGGGATACATTTACAATAAAACTCTTGCATCTAAAGGTCAGAGGTCACAGTAAAAGGGGGCATGAAAGAGTATAAGAGTCAAGGGACCAAATTTACTGTGATATTGTGTCTCCAAATAGTGTCAGAAACTACACTTATAAAGACTCACTGCTCCAAATGATATGACAGACTTTGAAGATGCCCCATGGAAGGCCTCACCCTCCCTGGGGGATAGAAAAGGGATGGGGTGGAGGTTGATGGGGGGAAGGGGAGGAAAGGAGGGAGAGGGAACTGGGATTGACATGTAAAACAAGCTTGTTTCTAATTTAAATAAAAAAAGGAAAAAAAGAGTCACTAACATGATTGCTTAAATGTGAGCTGAACAAGGACAAAAAATAGACATGCTACCACAGATAGAGTGAAAGCCCAGGAGTCCTCAACTCCCTCTACAAAGAACTACAGGCAACTAAAGAATGCTGAGAGTGAGACAATGTTTGCTTTATCATATCTTCAGTTAATTTAATTAGTTTCATGCAAAATACACATATTTTTGTAAATACATAATTTTATGTAAAATTAGTATCATTCTAATTACTTATCCTAATTATATACAGCTGCATGGAGAGTACCAGACATAATAACATCCAGGCATTTCTCAGATACTACCTATTTTTGACAATTACATTTCTTCCTTGGCTTATTAACTTTAGCAACTTGGTGCAGGAATGAGAGGAAGTGTCAGAGTACATGGGTTCCAGTGATTGAAAGCAGTAATCAAGGCCAAGTGTTTTGTGCTGTTATAGTCCCCACTTAGTTTCATCTATTTTCTCACATTTACTGTAAACCCTATTCCATAACCTTCCACCTAATTTCATAATTATATGATTTCTTCCAGAAAATTTTTTGTTTAACCAAGTGAGTTTTTTCTCTTATTTAAAATCAATAGAACTTTCAAAGCACTAAATGAGATCAGAGCTCATCTCAAAGCTTGCTATAATTAAAGTGATAAATATTAATGTTGATTATCATTGGCTATTACTAATCCCTTGCTGCATATCAACACTTTACTTACATGTTATGTATTTTAAGCTAATTTTCACAACATCTTTTAAAGATGAAGAAAATAAGATGTGGTCATGCACATAGTCAGAAGATTGATATTTTCTAGGTTCCCACTTCACATTTGTCCTTCACAGGTTTCAATCACCAAGCAACTTTGTGTTGCTTAGGTAGTTATTTTCCAAATGCTGTTCATCTGATGAACTGGACCATGAGCTCTGATGCTCTGATGATTTTGTTTGCTGCATTGTTTCCAAGGCTCAGAAGGGTCATGGTGACCTGTCAATGCCCAGTAGCCATTTGTTGCATGAGTGAATGGTAAAAATTTTGTACCTGGTAGAGCAGATGTCCATGTAAGCCAAATGGTAGGCTGTCTCTGCTAAGTGCCATGGGCAGTACAAAAATAAATGCTATAGGATTCCATTTGTCATTGAACTCATTATCAGCTAACAGAAAGGAAGGGACTAAAACCTACAAAGCAGGCCTGGTTCCCAGGTAAGAGAGACAGATTCTAGATCCAGAACATCTGGACATGTGGAAAAGGGAAGAAATGTACATCATGAGGAGAAAAGAATGTAAGCAAGTAAAGGGTCGGAACAAATTCAGATGAATTGGCTAGCAACAGGCAAGGGAGGAGAGCCTTAGGTTATAGGTAGCTACATCCTGATCACAAGCGCATCAGGCATTGTCCAGTAGCCATTCTTTCATTTGCTTCACACATACAAACTGAAGAGCTGTTACAATCTAGACACTGGTGACATAGCAGTAAAGCCAGAAGAAAAGGAAGGATAAAATAATTAAAAAGTAGACAAAAGTATGAGATTATATAATCGATGAAAACACATACTAAGAGGGCAAAGGCAGAGATCTCCATGTGGCAATAAAAAAATACCCTGAAGAGGCCTTTTTACAGAGACCTACATAAAGTGAAAGTCAAAAACTAAATCCTGAAATCATTCCAGTGCTGTAGCTATAAAGCCACAAACAACTGTTAAACATGAACCATGTGTGCAAGATATATCAAAATTTGTGGTAAACATAAATATTGCTGACTTTCTAATATTCTGTACCAAAAATGGAACATAAATTACCTTCTTAATAGTTGGACTATATTTGATTATATAAAAATATCACTAAAAATAACTTCACCTATTTTTTTCCAGTTTGACCCCTAGGTAGATTTTAAACTACATCAGCAGATCCCAAACTTTACCATAAGAGAAGCTCTGACCTAAGGGAGGGATGATGTAGGTTGGACCAGCAGTGAAACTGCTCTGTAAGACAAAACAGACTTGATGGCACTAAAGAATTATTGAAAATTGTAGACGAGTAATTTGATACATCCAATCCTCTGAACCAGTGAAAACAAATAAAGATGAAAGTGTGATTACAGAAAAGACTGTAAATTATGAAACTAATCATCACCCCTGGAGACAAGACCAAGGGAACTGAGACCTAGGCTTATGGAAGGGACAGGCAGACTTTGGGGGTTACCAGAATACAGTATACACCATGGTATTTTGTCTCAGTATGAAACTGATTGGAAACTCTATCTCCATCAATGTAACTAAGGAATCAGAAGGCAAGATACCAAGATAGCAAGGAGTTAGTCTTTGTTATGCTACACTATTTTCTCCCAGGTCAACACTGTGACTCTAACTCGTAATACCTGTCGTGAGTTTCAGAGCCTGCCTCACCCTAAATTATTTCCTTGTTTGCTTAGTTCTATTGTGAGCTTCTGAGATATCTGTGTGGTCTGTGCAGTGAGAAAACAAGAATTAGTCATGAGTGAGATTACTCACTAGTCAGTGTTTCACCAAGAAGTGAGCTACTGCCTTAGCTGATGTTTTACATTGCTCTCTGCCTCCGTCTGTTGTCTCCGTCTGTCTCTCTCATTTTCTCTCTGTCTCTATCTCCCTCCCTTTTTGCTTTTCCCTTCCCTCCCTCCCCTTTCATTTTCTTCTGAATTAGTGACAGAATTTTAAATTCTCTGAAAATTTTTTCATTTGAAAAAATGTTAGTTATTAACTTATGGTGTGTGTGTGTGTGTGTGTGTGTGTGTGCGCGCGTGCGTGCATGTCCACTTTTATGCATACACACACCTGTCAGGGCAGACACTTGGAACTCAGAGGCTATAATAAAGGAGTAGATTCTCTGCTTCCACCATGTGACTTGAAGATTGAACTCAGGTATAGACAGGCCTGTCAGCAACTGACTGTGCCTGCTGAGCGATCACTCCATCATTCATAGATGCTACTTAAGTGATACAAACGACAGCCACCTCCACCTGAGTTTGAAAGGGAAGGAATGACTTCTGAAAGCTAAGTGTTCATGGTACCAACAGAAAGGCCTGATATTACTAGCCTTCTCCAATCCTCCTGTGAGCACTGTGATTCTTTTGCAGTGTGGAAACGGGTCTCAGAAAGGTTCAGTAACTTCTTTGACGTAACTCTGGCAGGTCACAGAAACAATATACTTAAATTTAGTTTTACTAATTTCAAGTCTAAATGGAACAGGACACGGCACTGGCTGCCTGTTGCTGCCCTGCTAACACTGAGTCTCTTTGTCCCCACAGCTTGTCAGGTTTTTGGTTAGTGTAACTCCTGTGTGCAAAATAAACAAATCGGGACACACAGCAGGAAGCTCGGGGCTGGGGACAGTTTTGAGAAACAAGGGAGGTTAGCAGGAAAGGAACTGGTCAAGACACATACCTCCACACAGGGATCCAAACTTTCAGGTCTCAGGGAGGAGAAGAACAACGCCATCATCAGTGTCCCAGCCAGGCAGAAGGAAGGCATCATCCTGGCATTTTCTGCAACCAGCCGAGGCCATGAGAAAGCATTATGAACTAACTGTAGCCGTTGGCAAAGCAGACTCCCTGGGGCACCGACCAGCCTCTCGTCTCCGGGCGGGTGCCCTTCTGCAAGTACTATATTAAAAGATGTTCTGGGCTAAAGGGTGAGAGGAAGTGAGAGTGGCAACCTTAGCATTCTCACTTTTGGTTTGTTCTTTTCTTTTTTTCTCTAGAATTTATTTGCCCTATCGCAGGAGGCAAGTTAGAAGACTAAGGGAAGAACAGGAAGAAGGCGTTTGCCGACCAGACGCTGGAGGAACGGCAAGAGGAAGCTGGCTTTCATCCCAGGAAGTCATCTGACCCCTGGGCTTGGTGAATGCAGGAAAGTAACCAGATACTCATGAAGCCTGTGTGTGTGCCTGGAACTACGTACACATTCCTGTTTTGTTTACAGTGGTGGTCAAGCTGGATTTCTAAGTATCTGACGACACAGTACCGCAGACTGGGTGTTAGCAAACTACAGAAACTTAGGTTCTCACAGTGCTGAACGGTAGAAGCCAGGATCAGGATGTAGTGGGATGTGTCTGCGTCCTGATCTTTTCTTGTATTTGAATATGTGCACGCATCTGTGTGTATACACCTGCTTATTCATGGGGGAAATGAATACTTCATGTGTGTGTACCTCTGTGTGTTCACATGAAAGTATGTGTGTGTGTGTGTGTGTGTGTGTGTGAGAGAGAGAGAGAGAGAGAGAGAGAGAGAGAGAGAGAGAGAGAGAGAGAGAGAGAGAGAGAGAGAGAACCAGAGTTCACTACTGGGTGCCTTCTATGTTTGTTCCCATTCTTCTACTACTATTAATTATTAATTACTATTATTATTGCTATTAGAGAAGGGCTCCAACACAGTTTATTACAAAGGGGAAAACATTCCCAAGAATAAGAGTGGGTTAGTGAGCTGAGGGTAAAACTCAGAAGACCCCACTGTGCTTTTGGAGCCAGAGTCTCTAACTGAGTCTGCTCATCCATTGACTAGACTGAGTTGTCAGTGAGTTCTTGAGATCTACTCATCTCTACCCCTCCTTAGAGCTGGAGTTACAGACACATGCAAAGCATCCGGTTTTTATGTCGATGCTAGGGGTCTGCAGGTCTTCTGGCATATGAAGCATTTTACTGAGGTGTCTCCCCAGCCCCCTGCCTCTTTTAAAAACAATACTTCTTATATTGTACTAAGGCAGACCCATATTGTATTATTTTAATTATCTCATTAAATCGCAGTCACAGGATGAGGCGATGGGAGACTTAGACTTGAACATATGAATTTCAGAGAACACTGCATAATTCTACATGTGACACTGCTGATGAAGAGATGCCCACAGGGGAAGCTAATTGAAAGGTTCCAGTGAAATGCCATGAGGTGAGCAGAAGGGAGTCAGAATTATACGTACTCAGGTCAAGTCTAGGGCTGATGACCTAAGACTAGGTGACATTATTCAAATGACTCTGTTTCTGACCTATAAATTTGAAAACATTTTTTCTTTCTTTTTTGTCTTTTTATACTATAGAAACTAATATTTAGAATACTTATTCTTAGAAAGCTCTGTGATTTCTCCTGGATCATTAATGGTCCCAGAAACTTCTGATAAGACAAATATTGAAGGAGGCTCCTTCAGAGGAGGCACTTCCTCCGGGATCCCGGATTAAGGACAACGCACACCAAGCATCTGTTTTCACAGAGGTCCTTTATTAAGCAGGGAAGGCAAGTTGAAGTGACCGCTTTCTGACTCAGGCAGATGACAGCAGCAAACGACCTTGCAGTTGAAGTGACTGCTTTCTGACTCAGGCAGATGACAGCAGCAAATGACCTTGCAGTTGAAGTGACTGCTTTCTGACTCAGGCAGATGACAGCAGCAAATGACCTTGCAGGTTTCATTTTAAGAGGAGAAGATCTGTGTGAGAATGGGCTATGATGCAGTGGTGATAAAGGAGATAGGGGGTGAGGAAGAAGGGGAAGGGGACAGGAGAAAGGGGGAAGGAGCACTCGTACTGGAGGAACAAAGGACTGCCTCTAGACCGAGGGGAAACAGTCATGACACATAAGCAAATGGCGGTTCATAAAGGTAAAGGGGAAACCCCCGCGTTAGGATGAGGTATTTAATTTTAGTTGAGCATGTTAATTAGGTGAACCCAAGGGGGCTTCTGATTGCTGGAATTTGGTAGTCAGCCCCAGGAAGAGGAAGTGGCCAAATAAAGGTACAGACCTTGGTATCTAGCTTTAGGAATGTAATCTAATGGTTTTTTAGCAAAACAGAGGGAATGGGGGAGAAAGGCAAGGCCCTCCAGAGACATGCTCCAGGGAATGCGCTAGTGTCCCTTCAAAAATATCAACCTCCATTGTATTTATCACTTTGAGACTTTGGGGGAACCGACCTATAGAAACAATCTTCCCATCCCTCAAATTCCCTTTTCCACCTGTAAACCCCAGTCCTACTACAAAAGGATGCTCTGTTACCACTCCCTTGGACACACTGTATCCCTTAATTGTTCTTAATTGTGCTGATTATCAATCAACAATTTCTGAAGAAAAGAAAAAGACACATGAAACAGGCAGACTATACAGCTACAAACTCAGCATTTGCTACTATGTAAAATGTAGATACAGGACTAACAATTGTTCCTCTTCTGAAGGACTGGGGTTTGGTTCCCATCACCCATATAGTGACTCATAAACATCTGTAGCTCTAGTTCTAGAGAACTTGCTTCTTCTGGCCATACATGATCATTACATATGATATGCATACAAATATATACACAAAACGTAAATAAATCTTTAAATAAATACAATATAATTGCATTTATCATGCATAATTGAATTAAATCAACCATAGCATAGATTCTTACCATATCCCATAAAGGCTAACTATAGAAATTATCAAAAATGTGTTAAATAAGGATAATCATACTTCCTCAAAGACTTCTTGTAAAGCTTTCAGAGCAATGTCTTCAAAAAGGCAAGTTCACTATAAGTTCTTGATTAGTAAAAGTAGGTTAAGCATCAATGGCCTTTGTCTTAGCTGATAACCCCAAGATATGCATAAGCACCTCAAATCTAGCTTATGTAAAACGAAGCTGCAGAAGAGCAGACCACAGTGGACCAGATACAGATTCCTTCAGAATTCCTTTCCAGAGACTCCCTGGGGCTTCTTGGCCACCAGCCTGCCTACAGGTTCAGCAACAGACTTTATCCCAAGGGAGTAAAGTCCAAACTTATAGTAGGACATGCAAGTCCTGTTGTGCCCTCCACATGCACACAGAGAGAGAGAGAGACAGTCAATAGATTTAAAGAAAAAGTTAATGTCTATCTTTTCAAAGTGAATTATCTCTTACTCTATTAATCTCACCCACACTTTTATTAAATTGTGCCAATTGATGATCCCCCATGGGAGTGGGGGAAATGGAAGGAGGGAAGGGAGAGGGAACTGCAATTGGTATGTAAAATAATATTGTTCTTAATTTAAATAAGAAATAATAATAATGACAATAATAATAAAAAGAAAACCATAAAAATGTCAAAGGAGCATTTTAAATTATATAATACTATACAATGAAGATAGTGGAAAAGAAAATAACTGTTTTTGTTTTGTTTTGTTTTGGTTTGGTATTTTGAGATAGGGTTTCTCTGTATTGTTTTGGAGGCTGTCCTGGAACTCGATCTGTAGACCAGACTGACCTCGAACTCACAGATATCTGTCTGCCTATGCCTCCCAAGTGCTGGGACTAAAGGCATACATCACCAACATCCAGCTGAAAATAACTGTTATATATAATAATAAAAAACTTCTTACACTATTTTAAAAAAGACAGAAATTGAGCCAAACTCTAGAACTTGCAAACATAAAACAATTCTAAAATATAATTGTTCATTTTTATCCACCATTGACTATGTCCCTTAGTCTAGGGTAGTGCAATACATTGTAAATCAGTCTTTAAAAACCCATACTAACATCTTCAGAAGTCTCAACTTTCCCATAATTTCTCCTTCACTCCAAGTTTGCCCTATAAAAACATATTAAGTAGAATATATCTTAACTGTCTTAGTAATATTCCTTGGACCTCCATCCTTCCCTGACACTTTCTATACACAAACATGTCATCTAAGAGGAACAAAGTATGTTAATTAAGGACAGATATAACTAGATCCCCACTTACTAGGATACAAATATACTCTCTTTCTATTATTGGAAAGGATCCCCTGAGTGGTCAAAATGACATCCAAGAGAAAGAATAAAATAATCCCTTCTATACTATGCCTTATGAGGCACTGATGCCTGTATTTTATGTACATCCTCATGGAAAGCTTTCTTAACTTTAGTAGAAATATTCCTGAGCGTGCTTGGTGTGGATATTTGCTTGTGAAACTAATGCGAATAATAACTAGCATGTATGACCTTAACCAGGGTATTTCATTTCTGTGAGCCACTTCTAGAAGACAGGCTATGCATAAGATACAACAGAGAAACCTTAAACAATCAAGTTTTATTTGCTTAACCTCAATACACATGCCAATACAATTTTTCAATGAGTAATATGCACATGGTTAGTCACCATCATGAGCTCAGTGTTTAAAGCACAATGGAGGGTGAAGTGACTAGGCAATCCTTTGGTTTTATACATCATTATTGTGGAGCTGGCTCAACTGAAGATCCACAGTCACTCAGCCAATGGAGGAATCCCATCTTTACCAAAGACAATTGAGCGTCTGGTCCAACTTGGAAGATACTGAATGTTCAATAATAAATAAAGTACAATATATATGACCGGTATTATATTAATACAATTATATGATGATATAACACACACACACACACATATATATGTCATGATACATATTTCTTGCTCATGAAATGGTCAGTGAGAATATCCATGCTTGTTAATATACGAGGAATGATTCATGCCACCAGAATCTTTTTTACTTTATTGTGCTGCTACATTTGATAAATAGGCTTGGAGTTTTTTCCAAGATAAGAAAAGGGGAGGGGAGTACATCCATATTTATAACTGCCTTTCTTCTGTCACCTCTGACTTGTATAACCTTCTCTTTCATTCTAGGGTGAGAACCAGTCCTAAGAACTCATTTGTTAAAGTGGTATCTCTAACCTTTAAACCTCTTGTCCTACTTCAATCACACACACACACACACACACACACACACACACACACACACACACACAGGAGAGAGAGAGAGAGAGTGTGTGTGTGTGTGTGTCATGGATTGCAGGATACACTG